ACAGTAATTATAACTGCAAGTATTACAGTAATTATAACTGCAGGTATTACAGTAATTATAACTGCAGGTATTACAGTAATTATAACTGCAGGTATTACAGTAATTATAACTGCAGGTATTACAGTAATGTTCATGCTACTAATTTATATCATGGCTAAAACTATCATAATATAGTTTATGCCTGTAGTTTCCTTCATGATTGTAATTATAACATAGTTCTTTATACTTATAGTTTCTATCAATGACAGAAATTACCAGTGTTAATTCACCCATAACTGAAAGTCTCACTGTCATTTGTGTAAATAGCTTCTGATATCTTTTGTCAAATGTTTGTGTGAGTGTCTATATATATATAAACACACACACACTGTTTGTTTTTTATCAGTAGTTTTTGGTATCTTACAGTCGTTTGGCTGTTGTATATTTCCTACATTACTGTATTCTGTCATGTTCATTGGATTGTTTTCCTGTATCTAATGTATTATGTTATGTTCATTGGATTGTGTTCCTGTATCTAATGTATTATGTTATGTTCATTAGATTGTGTTCCTGTATCTAATGTATTGTGTTATGTTCATTAGATTGTTTTCATGTATCTAATGTATTCTGTCATGTTCATTAGATTGTGTTCCTGTATTTAATGTATTGTGTTATGTTCACTAACTGGTGTCCTAGTGGTATCACGTTATGCCATGTTCATTTTAGAGCTATGCTACTGTATATGATTGTATGAGAACAAGTTTTTAATAGAAAACATGTCCTAAAGAGCTTTTAATGTCTTTGATGTGATTTAGTTTTTTCATTGTCACTATGCAAACAAAACAATCTTCAATTACATTTCAGGAAAACCCAGAGGTCAAGGTCAAGAAGATCAGACTGTTCGTAACAGGAATTTTAAAGATCGTCACAAAGATCGATTGGCGAACCATAATCGTAGAGCCCAATCTGATAGAAAGAAAGGAAGAGGCATGATTCCAATTTAGGTATCATATTACTGAATTAAAAGGTTTGTAATCTTTCCTGACTGAGTGAAAATGTGTAAAAGACAACCATTTATATTATCGACATTTATTGACTAATTGTTTTGAATTTGATTATTTTTGTGTATTTCTTGATAAGATTTTACTTTAGTAATCAGTATTCAGAGATTTTCTCTGCCTGAAGTCTTTTTTATTAATTATTCTATAGAGATTTGTTCTGACTCAAGTCTACTTACTAATTATTCTGTAGAGATTTGTTCTGACTATAATATATTTAATAATTATTCTGTAGAGATTTGTTCTGACTATAATATATTTAATAATTATTCTGTAGAGATTTGTTCTGACTATAATCTATTTAATAATTATTCTGTAGAGATTTGTTCTGACTCAAGTCTACTTTCTAATCATTCTGTAGAGATTTGTTCTGACTCAAGTCTACTTTCTAATCATTCTGTAGAGGTTTATTCTGGCTATAATCTATTAGGTTGTCAAAAAATTAATGTTGCTTTTTTTTAGATGAAAAAACCCGAACAGCTTGTATATCAAAACAAAACATTTATTAAATGAATTAGTCTCCATTCTTATCAATGATGTTTTTCCATCTTACAATCAGGTTGTTAATGCCCTGATTAAAAAAATCACTTGGCTTTGAAGCAAAAAACATGTCGATGTCCTCTTTAACACTTTTCATGTTTGCATACGATTTCCATTAAGATGGTGTTGCAGCGAACGAAAAAGATGGTAATCTGATGGTGCCATATCTGGAGAATATGGTGGGTGGTGGAGAACTTCCCAACCCAACTCCATAATCTTGGATTGCGTCAAATGTGCCACATGTGGACGTGCATTGTCATGGAGAAGAACAACACCTTTCCAACTGACGAGTGAAGGGCGTTTCTGATGAAGGGCTTGATTTAAACATTCCAGTTGCTGACTATAGATCTCTATAGATCTGGATTGACAGTTCGCTGTGGATTGAGGAGTTCAAAATAAATTACTCCTTTGATGTCCCACCAAATGCAAAGTATCACTTTCTGCGGATGGTTTTATGGTCGGAAGTGGTTTTTGTCTAGGACTGAGCCATTGTTTTTGGCATTTAATATTTGCATAGAGAATCCATTTTTCAACACCGGTGATAATTCTGTCCAAAAATGATTCATGCACATTACATGCCAGAAGAGACGAAGCAACTTTCACATGTTGGAAACGATGATCATCAGAAAGCTCTTGAGGCACCCAAACACCTTCTTTATGGAGTTTTCCCATATACCTTAGATGTTTACGTATTGCTTCACGAGAGTCATGCAATTTCAGGGCAATTTCACAAGTTTGTTGCTTTGGGTTAGACTTAACAAGTGTCGTCAAAGCATCAACATCAATTCCAACATGTCGGCCTCTGCCATCACAGTTTTTAAGGCTAAAGTCACATGAACAAATATTTGCAGAACCATCGTTGATACTTACAAACATTCAAAACATTTCCACAAACTTCTTTGATATTCTTTGTGGCTACAGAGGCATTGCTTCCCTTCTTGTATTCAAACAGCATTACATGCCAAATGTTTGTCTCATCATATGCCATCACTATGAGGGATTAGAGTAAACTAAACTTTACACATTATATAGGCTACACTAACGTGACGTTTAGGCGGTTCGTTTAACAATTATACGTGATGTACATTTTGTTGGGGGTGGTTAATGAAAGTGTTCCAAAATGCGACCTTAATTTTTTGATGACCTAATACTTATTCATTATTCTAGATAACTTGTATTTCTAGGATAAAATAATCTGAGTCTAATCTGCTAATAACTAGATATATTAAAGTAACCAATAGCACATTAAACAAACTGAACAAATCAGGATATTAGACATGATAGAAAATTCCTAACTAATAAATGTATGGAAATTAATGAAACAAATGAACTTAAAAATATTTTTTCACTGTTTTAATGTCTTGTTTTATGTATCAAGTTATGGAACAAAACATCTGATTTATTTATGACAGTAAAGAATACTAGTCACGAATAACTGTTGCTTAATTTAATTCCAGCATGTGACAGGACAGTTGGCTTATGAAACAAGAGCAGTTGATTAAGTTAATGTTAGAACACTATATATATGTGTGTTTATTGAAAGGTGGTAACTTTTTTTTTTCTTTTGTATTCAGTGTAGACCAACATCATAACATTCAATAACTACAGCATGTGGTGAATCCAGTTCGATACAGCTGTCAGACAGTCGGAGATCTCTGTATCTGTACGAGCAGGTTACACGATTGGGGGGAGATGGTATTATGTAATACTAAAACTGGAAATCACATTTGTTGGGTCTTTCTTGACAGAAGTGGTTAAACATTAAGGAACATTTTAATGAGGTTAATTTGATCTATCTTGACAAGGGTAGTATGTGATAAAAAATGGCTAAAAACTGAAAATGATATGAAGTACATTGTTAATGATGAGACGTTTCACTTCCCCCTTTTTTAACCATTTTAATTCTTCTAATGTAAGGTTGTGCAAAGTGTACTGTTTTCAGGGAAGGGTTTTGTAAAGCTTAATGGGCCATTAAAAAGAAAAATTTGCAGATTCTTGTTTTACGACGTAAATCAATTAAGCTTATTAAAACTAGAAAATAAATTTTTTCTGCTGTAAATATGGTTAAGGTTTTTTATAAACCTGAAGAATTATTAAAAAAACCATTTAATGTTTCTTTCTTAACTTTTGTATATAAAGTACACGTGATAAATAAACCTTATGGAACTGTGTAAAGTAGCTTTGCATTACACAAGTTGTTTAATTTTTCCGAAATTTTAGTTTCTGTACTTGGTATTACTAAACACCTATTTTATCAGCATCCCATGAGAAAAAATTTTAGTTTGGTTCAATATTTCAAAATCAAAACATTTCTTATATTTGTTTGAGTTTTTTTTTTTTTATAAATGTACCTTTTGAGAAAGGCTTAAACACAACAACTCACTTCCAACACACTTGTTTCATTTAAATTTGTTTATGATGTGGTGTTGAGTATTCTTTTCTTCTCTTTCATTTGTTTTATATCTTTCCTTTTTTTTATAGACTCCTAAACTATATTAAAATTACATAGTTTTTGCCACTTATATTCATCCGAAAACTAAATTTGAGAGAAATTTTAATCTGTGCAGTTCCTAGACACTGATTTGTAGTTTTGTCAAATGCTGTTAGAATACGTGTTTGTTTCAAAGCTTCTAAGTGCATGTATTCTATTGTTTTTGTTGTTATAACATCAAAAAAATATGTAGCATCACTGTAAGAAAGTCTGTAAAGAATGTTTTTATTGTTCTAAGAAACCAAACTAAAATTATTTGTGTTGCAGTACATCTGTTAAAGCCTACTCTTACGCTTCTGAAAACATTTGTTAAAGTATACTCCTTACGCTTCTGAAAACATCTGTTAAAGTATACTCCTTACGCTTCTGAAAACATTTGTTAAAGTATACTCCTTACGCTTCTGAAAACATCTGTTAAAGTATACTCCTTACGCTTCTGAAAACATCTGTTAAAGTATACTCTTACGCTTCTGAAAACATCTGTTAAAGTATACTCTTACGCTTCTGAAAACATCTGTTAAAGTATACTCTTACACTTCTGAAAACAACTGTTAAAGTATACTCTTACACTTCTGAAAGTTCATCTTTACTATTCCAAACTTGGTGTATATGAAATATTTAATGTTGAAAAAAAATCTATATACATGTGGTATAGAGCCATATTTAATACAGTCATCTACATTATTTTGCAACAAAATGTTCAAAGCGGTAGCTCATCAGGCATCTTATAAAATGTAAGTATTGATCACATGTTCATGTAGCTATGAACAAGTTATTAATATTACTGTAAGTATTGATCACATGTTCATGTAGCTATGAACAAGTTATTAATATTACTGTAAGTATTGATCACATGTTCATGTAGCTATGAACAAGTTATTAATATTACTGTAAGTATTGATCACATGTTCATGTAGCTATGAACAAGTTATCAATATAACTGATGCAGTATTCTGTTGAGAAGAGCCTCACTCTCCTTTTTGTTTCTGAATAGAAGTTTTTTTTGTATCAAAGAATTGACTGTATGTGTTGAACTACGTGTGTAGATTAAGATATATTTTGACCAGAGAGTATGTATATTTTATGCAAAGTATAATGAGATAACAATAAAATTTTGAGTGAAAGTTACTGTTACTTGATAATGAGTATGTTAGTTGAAGAAAGTAATTTGTAGGAACATTAACAAAATTCTAACTGACAATGTGGTTTCACTTTTGGCTTGAGAGTATACACCGTTCAAACTTCTTCAGTCTTTCTACACATTTGTATAATAAAAAAAACTAGAAACCTTTACGGCACATTACATTTATGTTCTTAATGTATTTATGAAAATATCAGGTCATGAGTAGAGGCATATAGTCATAAACAGTACTCGCCTCTCTGCAGAACAAGGAGCTATTACCTCACACATCTGACATGATTTTTTGTTTTTTTTTGTGCATGTCACAAGGCTTGATTGGAAATCCCACCCCTATAGGTATTAGTGTGGACTGCACCATCCTATAATGTAATCATAATTAAACTATATCCTTTAACCAGTTGGATGGGGGAACAAATCCCCATAAGCACTAGCTTTACAACAAAAGCTCATTATTGTCCTCGGCCTTTCTGTATATCCTTTAACCAATTGGATGGGGGAACAAATCCCCATAAGCATTAGCTTTACAACAAAAGCTCATTCTTGTCCTCGGCCTTTCTGTATTCAGATGTTCTTTCTGAAGAATAATGGAATTATTATTATTATTACCATTTATAGCTAGCCTTTCTTCACTTTATTTTCTTGATTGTGAAAAAGAAAAATACCAAATTTTAAACATTTCAGTTAGAGCTTTACTTTGAATTATCTTTAATCTGATTTGTTATTTTGGTACACTTGTTGTTGTGTCTGCCTAGACTTCTATGATAGTACTATTTCCCATTGTTTTATATGAATGTATGTGTTTCATTACATCCGATTTTCTTTCATCATTTCACCAGTAACATAGGCCTGTGTACCTCAAACATACCAGGCCAACTTTTATATAATATAAAATGGCTTGTGGATAATCTCAATTGCACATTCATGTTTCCGCATTACTGACATCTTCCAAAGTTCTGATATTCCTCAAGAGGAGTCATCAGTTCTTGTAATGGTGACTGAAGACACTCTGAAGATCAATGATGTTACTGCCATTCTTACCTCATGTCCAGAATTCCTCCTGCTTTGGTTTCTTCATTTGCCTACCCCCATCTATGACCTACTTTGACTGTTTTCAATGCCTACTTTTCTTCTGGTTTTCTCTTCTTCAACAAAGATCTACCTTCATCCTTTGCTGCTTGGATTACATAGGTATTTATCTTTTGTTTTCTCTTTCTCCAGTTGTATTTTGCTGACTCTTAGGCTACCTTGTTGCATGAGCCTCAATCACTTTTAATTTTTTTTTTTTTTGTTTAGTTATAATTTTTCAGCTTAGAGATCTTCTAATGTTTCTACTTTTTGTTTCACTCACTCACCATCTACTTGTCTTCATCTCTAACTCAACTTTTTTTTGCCATGCTTCATTTTGTTTTAGAGCTTTTTACATCACGACCCTTTCAGTTTTACTGGGGGGAACTTGCACATGTCTGTTTTCCACCTTGACTTCGATTTCCTTCATCTTTTGTATCCCACGCAACTTGTTTTAATTGTTTCTTGGATGTAATTCATTCAATTGCCTTACTTTGTGATGTTTGCCTGCATCAGTCTTCTTTCAGGGACCTCTTGTTTTCAGTGGTCTGCCCACCCCCTCTTATGTTTACAGTGGTCTCACCAATCCTCTCTTGTTTTCAGTGGTCTCACCAATCCTCTCTTGTTTTCAGCGGTCTCATCAATCCTCTCTTGTTTTCAGCAGTCTCACCACCCTCTCTTGTTTTCAATGGTCTCACCAATCCTCTCTTATTTTCAGCGGTCTCACCAATCCTCTCTTGTTTTCAGTGGTCTCACCAATCCTCTCTTGTTTTCAGTGGTCTCACCAATCCTCTCTTGTTTTCAGCAGTCTCACCACCCTCTCTTGTTTACAGCGGTCTCACCAATCCTCTCTTGTTTTCAGCGGTCTCACCAATCCTCTCTTGTTTTCAGTGGTCTCACCATCCTCTCTTGTTTTCAGTAGTCTCACCACCCTCTCTTGTTTTCAGTGGTCTCACCAATCCTCTCTTGTTTTCAGTAATCTCACCATCTTTTCTTGTTTTCAGTGGGTTTGCTTCCCCTTTTTAACTCCCTTTAACACTTCCATTTTTTAGGTCTCCAGTCCAAACTCCCCAGATTTTGCAGTAGCTGCTCTGTGTCTGGATTGATTCAATCTCTATTAATATGCCAATCCTCCTCTTTCAATGCTTTCCATTTCTGCTGTCACTGGTGTGGGAATGTTTTGTACACATCTCATCCCCAGGCCATCCTCTTTTCTCTCTCTCTCTCCAGTTCTTACAAATCTTCCAAGCCGTTTTTCATCAATCTGCCTCCTTGTTGTCCAGTTCCTTTTCTGGACTAGAACCTCTGTTTAGTTCTTGGGGCTCTCATATGTCCATCATTTGAACCATTTCCAACATTTTCCATCTACCATCTTTCTTTTATGATATATTTCAGTAAATTGAATTCTCAGAACACTTAGCCTCAAACACAATACTTCATAAAAGTATGGGATTCTGTAACAATCTTTTCAATTTATTGGGACTCGAGTTTAAAAATGGTAACCCAGGATTGAAATGGCATATTAAAATCCAAATCAGCACAGAATACATTAATGTCACACAATTACAAATCATAGAAGGGAAATATTTACAAAAAAAAGTTTTAATATCGCACAGTAAACATCATAGACATAATTAGCTGTATTCTAAAGAACCCCGAACAGATGTACATGCCTAGTTTAGTCCATAAAACTCTTGAAACAAGTTCGGATGATCCACATAGCTATTTCAGTACAAGTTAAGTATTTCTTTACTCTGTCTCATTGTTGCCATCTTCTTACTTTTCTTGGTCCTTCGAATTGCAAACTTGCTGGTAAACACTATGAAGTGATAATGATAAACCTCTAACAAAGATGAACAATAGGTGCATCTTGTTAAGCTGAAAACTGTCACTTACTTGTCTTTAATAAACTAAATTTACTAGAAGACTATATATATATATAATTTATTTGGATAAATAATAATTTGTATTAATCGCTATCACTTCATGATGTTTACCAGGAAGTTTGCAATTCGAATTTGGACTAATATGTTTTTATAAAAAACTGACATATTAAGGTTAATTTGCATCAAATTTTAATTTGGTGTCATTTATTTGAAAGTTCCTCGATAACGTGTGCCAATATTGATAATCACTGTATGGACATGTGCTGGTGTATTTTTTACACTTTCTATCCCCATCCTACACCTATAACATATTTTATTCTCTTTTTTTATGCTGTCGAATATTTTAATAATATGCCAACTACTTTTGATTTTGTGAACATAAACAAAAAATAATATGATTTTCTGTTAAGAAAATAATTAAATAGCTCATAAATACTTTTTTGACATCCTGAATACATATTACACGAAAAATGTGCTTTTAAGTAGAATGTCATTTCACCTTTAAAACTGTTTTAAGTAGAAATAGAACAAGCTTGAAAAGTATGTGTGAAACATTTTAAACTTAGTAGCGGGTATTCATTATCAAATAACCTTATGTTATGAATACCTTTTCCAAGCTGATGAAGTATAATTATAATTCAGAGGAGGACTACTAGCATTATACCTGGGATGGAAAGGTTGCCATATGAGGATAGGTTAAAATCTCTTGAAAAAAAAAAGAGTTAGAGGGAATTTGATTGAGGTGTTTATATTGTAAAGGGTATTGATATTGTTAACACTTTTTTTTTTATATTTAATGGTAAGATTAGGAGACACAAGTACAAATTTTGGCAAGGAAGGAGTCATCTTGAGCTATGACATCTTTATTTTTTTAATAGAGTGGCTGGCCTTTGGAATGAGTTTCCTTTAAATGTGGTGGATACAGTTAATTAAAGGTAATGTAAGCAAAAGCTTCATATACAGGGTGTCCGAGAAAAATACCAATTTATTTATTATTCAAAATGCAAGCTGTTAACAGTCATACACATATCAATTCTTGGTATTTTATTTCCAGAAATATATACAACTGAAATTATAAATGTGTTTGTTGGACTTTAAGAATATAATGTCTATTTTCCCTATGGGTCCAGACATCTGAGACACCCTGTACATTTGAATAATAAGGGCTGGCTTTGAGTTTTTAGTGTTTAGTTTAATATAGTAGATAAGATGGACCAAAACTAAAGGCCCCTTGTTGTCTTTAATGTTATGTTAAGAAGTGAAAATTAAAAGAAAATAACTAATTTGATATGAATAGTAAACAACTTGTGTTAAAAATCTGATATATATATATGTATATGTTTTTTCTAATATGATTTTTAGCAACGAAGAAAAAATACAATGTAGGCTTAAGTTCTAGAATAGCAGTGCCATCTTAAGAAGAAACAAATAACGTTCAAATATTGATGACGATAAGAAAACGTTTTCATTGACTAACGAACACCGAGTACTTTTCTTTGTATTGAAGATGAGCTGATTTGTTGATGATAATTAGTTGCAATAGGATGACTTTAACTGACTTTCTTTGCAAGTAAATAAGTATTATCTGCTTGTTAATGACGGATAACGTGCGATCATGTCATGTGATCTCAAAACTAGTAATCTAAGATCAGTCAGTATGAAAAGCTATGATATGTATTGTTTAATTATTTATTAAATCTCTGTAATTAATTTATGAAAATTACTTAATGCTAAGTTAATTAATTGACGTTTTTATTATTTTTTTAGATTTCTTGTGTCTTTACCTAACAAAACGTAAACTAATTTAACTATCATTTAACAAGACGGAAATGAAATTTAAAATTACCTAAGCGGCTACATCAGGTGCTTTGTTTCATGAGCTAATGAGACCGTGAAACACTTTAAGATATTTATTAAGTAACGTTCGAAGATCGATATTTTAAGTATGTTTTAATTTGGCGCTTGTGTGATTTCCGCCATGGTTAAAAACGTAGTGATAATACACAGTACTATGAATGCACCGACGCTGCGTTGTC